CCCCAAAACCCCAAAACCCCAAAACCCCAAAACCCCAGGCCTCGTGTTGGTAGTTGAGAAGCATAATTTCTTTCTGATTATCACATTTTATGGGTTTAAAAAGCCACTACCTGTCTCAAAGAGTGGGGATATAATATCACATGCTCGCATAAGCTCTATGAGACTTGTTCTACCTCTATTCTTAGAGTATGCCTTATCTCAAGGAATTGAGATATGATAAAAGTCTATTAATGGATAGTAGGAATTATAGCATCGCATATATCACAAGCTCTAATTACTCTGTCTTGCATATCTTCAGATAAGCACTAAGATCTCTGAATCCTTGTAAACGTTCTGAGAAGCCTCTGTATCTTAAACTTACTTCTCTGTTCGATGATATATTCATTTTTATAGAAATGGTAGCATCAGTATGAAATTTTGTGACTGATTAGATCCTTCGAATATCTGAGCTTCCAGAGCTTGCAGTAGGATTTTTGAAGTTAGAGACTCTCAGAAGGGCCTACTTATAGCCAGAAATATAAATTTAAGCTCTGGTTGGTGACTAATAATCATTAGAACTGATCTCCAGATATTTACTCCCAATAAATTATGACACATTTTGCGCTGGTTAACCAAATTTAAGTTTTATGGGTGCGGAGAATTCTCCACCTTTGCAATTTTAATGTTGGAATTCTTCGGAGGGTAGTTCAATGAAACCCTAAGAGAAAATATAGGAGTCAGCACTTGTTAATAGCTCTAGTCTAAATATTACAAATGGAATTCTTCATTTCTGAGACTGAGTAATTTTTTATTTTGTTCACGAATTGCATAACTTTGTCAACCCCACAGATGCATAAAATCCAGTGTCTCAAGTATTGTTTAGAGAAGGACTCTTGATATTTATTAAACCTATTTCATTGATGTTTCGGCTTCTCTGGAAGTTTGGAAAATTTATAAAGTTTATTAAATTTATTGGTCTACTAAAATTCAAAAGCTAGCAAGATATTTTTGAATTCACAATTCGACCAAGTTTTAATCATTAGCAGAGAAGGATAGGTCTTAATAAGTCTTTGTGAGTTAATTATTATATTTGAACCCTCTGGGTTTTCAATAGCTTTCTAATCTTGTTCTCTCGAGAACCCGATAATTATTTGGATAGTTAAAATTTAAAGATCATATCTAAGCGACATTAAGCATTCATATTGAGGTTTCAAAATATGTCTTTCTACTTCCTGTGACATCTTTCCTCTATGAATGTTCTGGTTACGCTTTCTTTCAAACCTCAGTGGTTGTAGCTACAAAATTAACTTCTCAAAGTGTTTGTGATTAAGTAGAAGAACTTAAATTTAACTCAAATTTTAGTTATGAAAATTTAGTTGATTTCTGCTAACAATCTTATCTGGATAGCCAAGTTGGTTATTGGATTAAGGCAAACAGGCTGTGTTTGATCTTATTTATTTTTCTCTTAGCAAAACCAATAATTTTATTTATAGTCGAAATCCAAGACTCATAAATTTTGCTTCAATGAGCGATAAAAGGTAAACCTAGAACAGAACATTCATAACGCATTAAAAGTAGATTATCTTAAAACTTATTTACTCCAAAGCATAATGAGGGATGACACAAAGGGAGATATCAAGCAGCTTATCTCATTATTAGAGTCTCGATCACAATGATTAATGAGAGAACCAAACTGAAGAATACTTTTATGCAAAAGAGCAAGCATAAATTCTAACAAACTCTCAATTGAAGATGAGGGTTGAGCTAAGTGTCCTTACTGTGGATTTTGAATTTTCTGATGACATCATTATGGATCCCTTGAGATCCTAGAGCTTCAATGCATTAGTTGATTATAAATAATGTAAGCCTTTCTATCTTCCCAGAAGATTCTTACCCTAAACTCGGCTACGGGACTTCTCTACAATAATGTCGCAATCTGACCAGAAAATTCTTAGGAAAGACAGTTTTGGGTAAATGTTAGTAAATTAAGTTATTAGTTGAGGCAACTAGGCTCTCACGATGGTCAGCAAGTTCTGAAAGTTCTCTTGATAGGCCTCCAGGTTTGATGAGAAAGTGACATCATTCTCTAGCATTCTCTCCATCTGGCCTTCGCTGACAAATTGTTCGAAGATGACTGCAAAGGGCTTGAACTTCAGCAATTTGATAAGTTTCTTCTTAGAGTATTTGTAGATGCAGTTGTAGAACAGGTTGAAGGCTGTCTTCACATATGGAATCGCAAACTTCTTGCGCAAAGGAATATTCAAAACCATGCAGGCAAGCAAGATCTTTACTCGGTAGTACATCTGCAATTCAGCAGTCAGTTCAGACCTTTTGTGATAGTCTTTAGACTGCAGCAGTTGACTTATAGAAAGAGTCTCAAAACCATCAGTGAATTCTGAACTTGGCTTGATGTTTGCATCTCAGTACTAAATAAATTTTAAGCAGGTCATAAGATTGTAGGGTAAATCAATCGATAGAGACACCTACCTCATCAATTTTACGAAGAACTTCTACTCCTTCGTCTCAAGTCAAAGTTTGAATCAAAGGATTTCCGTTTCAGAGCAGCTGACAGAAGTACCTCTTGACGCCTCTGACAATTGTTTTTCAGACGACATCAGGTCTGGCTGAGTGTTCTCCAGGCGTGTACGTGTTTTCTCTGGAACTGACATTTTCTCATGATACATCCTGAGGAGTCTTGCCCTCTTCTTGCTTAGTGAATTCTAGCGAGTTAGAAGCTTTAGATGCTTGAACTCCATTCTTGGTTAAGTTTAAAAAAGGCTGGGCTAACTTGATCTCTGTAGTCCGAGAAGGATACGAATTGGCATCATGTTGGAAATCACGGATCCCCTGAATCTCATTCTCAGACAAGACAGGAGTGTTTTCAGATAGTGGGATCAAGCTCTCTAGATACTTAGTTAGAAGCCAATAACTTTGTGGAGAAATTTAATTAGTGCAAAAGTATTATTAAAATTATTATTACTACCAATAACTATGCTAAGATTTGATATGCCAATCTGGGTAGAATCAAAACCCTAATCAGCGATGAGAGCAAGGACTAAATTCAACCTGAATTTTCCTACCAAAAAGAGGATGACAGGTTTAATGAAGTGTATGTTTACAGTTTGGCAAAATCTGAAGAATTATGAGAAAAGAACTATAGAGGATTCTATTCAAAAGATTCAATTATGTTATTGAGTGTTTCATCAAAATTAGAGGCAGCCATAGACTTAAAAATATTTTTAAGGCCACGGTCACTCACCTGAGTATTCAATTTCGTGGTCGTCCCAGTGGGCGAAGGGGTCTTGTCCAAGATACGCATCTTCTTGGAATAAACAGAGCTTCTTCTGAGAAGTAGCTGAGGGAGACTGGAACAATTGAGTGGAGTTGTTCATCGTGTGCACAACTATTGAGCAATTTTAGATTGGGGGTTTTCAGCAAAATAAAATTTATGCAAGTACTTACGATTTGTGGAATATTAAATATTTACTTATAACATTCAGTTGGTATGAACTTATATGGGGTTTTGGGGTTTTGGGGTTTTGGGGTTTTGGGGTTTTGGGG